TGATTATATTAACCAACTATTTATTTGGGGGGTTTGGCTAACATTAGCCCCCGTGTCATAAGATGACATGGACCTCGATTGGAACACTTACGATGTTCCGTTTGAAATATTGACGATTCTTACCCTCCAGTAAACTCCCCCACCCCGGTCTGATCCGAACTTACCCCCCTCACACATCCATCCAATTGCACCTCATAAAATTTAATTACCTATATCCTCCGAATCATCCCGTGACATTGAAATTTACTTCAATATGGGTGTAATTTAAATAGTGTGGAAACACAAACAAATCCCATCCAAGTATCAAGCTCATGTAGGCTACTCCTATTTAACTTACTCCCTCCGTCCTATAATGATCTTCCCGGTTCGCAAAACGAAGAAAAATTCCAAGTTTTTTCAATCTATTTTATTTAAATATTAGTATAGAAATAAAAAATAAAACATACATATTTAAAAACTACACCAAAAGTTCAACAAAACAAGTGGTGACAAGAATATTTTATTTTATCATATAGGCCATGAAAAAATACAAATAAATATAAATTCTCGTAAAGTTGGAATAGTGCTCTGGGAAATCATTATAGGATAGGAGGGAGTATTTGCAAACATTATAGGTGAACGTCTATCACTCTTCAATTCGTGTATTTGCTTTTCTGTTTCTGTGTATTTGCTTGCTGGATTCTTAATTGTATTGCAAGATTCCAGGTTTTGATTAGAATTGCAACCTTTGAAACCCTAATTTAAGAAATTGGAATCTTGATTGTGTGATCTACACGCGTACCTGTAATCTCTTTGTTTAATGATGTACTCTGAATGTTCTTTTTATCTATTTAATTCATGGAATGCAGATGAGGAAGAACAGTAAGAGGATTAAACTGAGTCTGTGTGGCCATGTGGAGGAATTTCCTCGTGAGGAACTTCCTCTTGAGGTTATTGGAGACATATTGTCTCGGGTAAGAGTTGCACGAGATGTGATTAAAGCCTCTCTAACTTGTAAGAAATGGCGAGAGGCTTATCGCAAACACCTTCATGCACTTTCGCTTGAAGCCAGTCACATAAAGGCTTTCTATGGCAGATATTTCAGGCGTGCTCCTGATGTGGAACTGTCAATATCAAAGATGATATTTGAATCACCCGGTTTGCAAAAACTATCAATTCGCATGTGCGCCGACTACAAGTTTCCGGTCAGTTTAGTCGTGGCTTGGTTGATGTTCGTCAGAGAAAATTTGTTGGAGCTGTTCTATGAGGACACAACTTCTTTCGATGTCAATGTGCTATACATATTCAAAATGCAGAGATTGGAGACCTTGAGTTTGTGTGATTACAAAATAAAAAGGGTCAAACCAAATTCCCTAAGATTTCCCTATTTGACATCACTGACTCTATGTCGTGTTGGTATTCCAGTACATGATCTAAATCGATTTCTTCATTCTTTTCCCAAACTCGAGCGTTTGAAACTTGATGCTCCCTTCCCGCACTATCCAGATGATATGTCTTTTTCTCAAGATAAAGTTCTCAATGTGCTTTGTCCTACACTGAAGATGCTTTTTCTTGATAATTTGAAACTGTTCAAGTTTATATTGGAGAAGAGTAGTGTTGAGCATTTGCAAGTGAAGCGTTGCTATTTTGTTTCGCTTAAAGTTTTTGGTGATAATACTTTGAGGGGCTTCAAAATGTCCTGCTCTAAGGTTCGGCTTCTTGCAGTTAAAGAGACAGACAATGTAGAGAGTTTTGAGATCATCAACAGTCACTTTACCGAATCAAATTGGTTCCCAATGGCGATACGGTCACCAAATTTGAAGAATTTGAAGACGTTTCGCTTTTGGGGTTTTAAGCAACCATCCACGTGTCCCGCAGCAGTTGAAGGCATATTTCCCAACGGGTCGAGAGTAGTGTTGGATTTCAAACAAATGGCCATTTGTTTACCACAACTTAGCCATCTTGCAATGTTGTGTGAAGGAGTTGATGGTCTTGTATACAGATTCGGGGGTTCGACTTCCTTGGAGAAGGTTGTGGTTTTGGAGATGGGATGCGATGGTTCTAAACGCTTCGGCAAATGGGCAGAGAAATTGCTGAAATGTTGTCCAAATGCGAAGAAGGTAATTGTTCATTGGGTTTTTCCAGAAGGCAGAAATTCAGACCATTTGAAGGATCTTTCTAAGCAGAGCACATCAATGGTTGAAATGATGATGAAGTATAGGCACATACAATGGAAGATTGCCTACATGTATGATTCTGATTATTAGTTGGTAACAAGGATAAGGCTTGTGTCTACTCACCCTTAGGTATTTTACTGAGTTTATTGTTGGTTTTTGATTAATAGGATCTCTATTTTTGAAGTAGACATAAGGCTGATGTCTATTCATCCCCTCTAGACTTCACTTTTATTGGTTGTGTTGGCTTTTATTGAATTCATTGTTGTTCTTGATGCCAAATTATATATCATTTCTACTAGTGATTATTACAAATAATTAATTTACGAAGGTTAAATATGTTTTTAGTCTCTGTAAAATAAGCAATTTGTTTTTTATCCTTGTAAATTTTTTTGTTTAAGTCATCCGTATAAATTTTTTTATTTTGAAAATGATCTTTAACCGTAATTAAGATTTCTAATTTGTTGAGATAACACATTTATTTTATATTCAACATTTTAATCTAGTGTTTCTAATTATCTCAAACAAAATTTTAATGTTCTAAATAGTGTTCTTCATCAAATGTGATCTATTTTATCGGAGATTAAGGAAAAAGTGGTGGCAACATCATTATTTCATAGACAATTTTAAAGTGTTCTTCATCAAATGTGGTAATGATAGTGTTCTTCATCAAATGTGATCTATTTCATAGACAATTTTAATGTCAGTCAAAGGTACTCTTTCTAACAATCTTTTCACGGTTTCGGTATGATTAGTAAGAAAATTTAAAATTTTGAACAAAAGGGTACGAAGATAATTGGAGAAAGAAATATTGTAAATCAAATTAAAATTTTCTAGAGCTAAGAATGATATAGTGTATTTAATTATATAGGGACTAAAAACATAGAGATATGTTTGTACAAAATGAAAAAAAATCTTTATTTTTGAATAGCAAAAAATGGCTACAGAGCACTCCAACCATAGTGTTTGACCTACCTTATTTTTTTAACTTCTCCAACCATATCATGAAGGTGTTTGACGACATGATAGATTGTTGAAAAAAACAGAAACTTTATATAAAAGTACAAAGCAAATATTTTTAACTTTGCTTAAAAACACTTCCAGATCTTATTATATATTGTAAACTTGAGAAGTCATAATATATAAATAGAAGCAAATTGGCAACCACAACAAACAAAATTTTAATGATGCAAAAGCTTAGAAGCAGATTTTAAACACAACACAAACACCCTCTGTGTATATTATAGTTATACCTATTAAAAACTATATTTTATCATTTTCTAATTTTTGTTATAAATTTACGAGAAGGAAGAACGCTGCGAAGCAGTGTTGAAGAGTTTATGAATGAAGCGCAAGAAGATAGACTTGATAGTTTAAGGAATTAATTACGTAGAACGCTTTCAGATCAGATTTACCAAAATAGTTTAATCGGATAAGAGGTTAATCAAATACAAGAAATTTGAAATCCAATGTCTCAACCATACATGCAAATTTCTATTTATAGAGTAGAAAATCAATGAGTAAACATGAACAATCGCATAAGGATGCGATCATTCGCGCGAAGAGTTAGAATCAATTCATTTTATTTACAAATTGGGACGAAGGGAGTAAAAAAGGATAAATTAGTCTTTTTAGAATAATTTATTTACCAAATAAGGAAACGGAAAGTATCAAGTGGGACGACCAAATTAGGAAAAAAATATTTTAATACAAATATATAAAATAATTAACATATATACATTACATATTAAAAATAAAAAAAAATCTACCAATGATAGGATGTTCGGATACGTCAATCTAAGTGGAAGCCAACAACGATTCTTCCTCCGTGGTCTACCTTTGAATGGACCGTGCCGCCTCGATCATCGGCTTGTTGCTCTTCGATTTGTGACTCTTCCGGCATGTACTTTTTTTAGTGCACTTGGTTCCGGTTGAGTCTCTGGAACTGAATCCGGGTCCTGAAGATTCACCGAGCTTTGTGTATCATACATCAACGAATTACCATCATATGATTAGAAAATCCTCATCACTTCCTCATTTGGCTCGAGACCGGACAAAGAAATGTTAAAACTGAAGCGATTCATATTAAAAATAAAAACAAATACTTGAATATTTTTTTAAAAAAGAGGAGGGAGAGATTTGATTTTTGTGGTGCCTATTGAATTTTTTTTAAAAAGATTGAATATATAGAGGAGAGATTTTTTTTAGTCTAACGACTTTATAGCCGTGTTGGGGGGGCTCCAATGGCCAAATTTTTGCCTACAATTTATGTCAAAAGTTTGACGCTACAAAATTAATGGTGACGCTGCAAAATTAATAGTGCGATAACTGGAGAGGATGCGGTTTTTAACGCCCTCATGTGTCAAAACCGACTTAAGAGCACTGAAAATACCTGTGAAGCCCCGGAGTTTCAAACCGGGGCTTCAAAATTTCTCTCTATGTCACGTCAGCTTTAATTTACCTCACAGATTCAATTGAAATGGGTTTGAAGCCCCGGGCTTTAAACTAGGGCTTCAAACCTTCATTTTTTACATTTTTAAATATACATCTTCTAAAACTAAATTAATAAAATTTAATTTTTTTATTTAATTATATGGAAACAAGAATAATTAAAAAATACATTCATTAAATTAAAAAAGAAGAAAGAAACAATAATAAAAAAATACATTAATAAAAAAACTAATGTAAATTATATTTGGCCTTAATCTCTTTTTGTCTTCCATTAATAAAAAAAACTAAGGTAAAAAAATACATCACTAATAAAAGTAAGGTAAAAAAATTATATTTTCTTTTTTTTTTGCTTCCAACGACTAAATTAGCCGTTATAGAAGAGAGAGGTTGCGTCAAAGACGCTGATGCAATGAGTCCAATGACACTGGAATGAAGCCCAGGAGGAAACGGTGTTTAAGGCCCCCTCGTCTTCAAAAGGGGCATAAAGCCGCGCGGGGTGATATGTAATTATGTATCACCACTGCCCTAGCCCTGGCGGGCGTCAGTGGTATTTCCACCGCTCTTCAAAAATAAAAAAAAGGCCAATTCTCTTTCTCTCTCATCCAGGAAAAAAGAAAGAAAGAAAGAACAAAGAAATTTACTGGTGTTGGCTGCACGATTATAGGTTAATGTTCCGTCACTCTTAAATTCGTGTATTTTGTCTTATCTCTTGATTTAATTATTGTTTATTCCTTTGCTTGATTATGATTTGTTGATAATTCGAAGCTTTGAAACCCTAATTTAAGAAATTGGTATCTTGTTTGTGCGATCTACATGCGTACCTGCAATTTCTTTGTTTAATTATGTACTGAGTGCTCTGTTTATCTATTCAAATCACGGGATGCAGATGGGGAGGAGGCAAAGGAAAAGGATTAAAAGGAGTTGGGAAGGGCCTGTGGAGAAACTTCCTCTTGAGATTCTTGGAGATATATTGTCTCGGGTAAGAGTTGCACGAGATGTGATTAAAGCTTCTCTAACTTGTAAGAAGTGGCGAGAGGCTTATTGCAAACACCTTCGTGCACTTTCGTTTGATATTGCCGATTTTAAGGTTGTCAACGACCAAGATCCTGTTCCACGCATAGAATTGTTTATCACAAAGGCAATTTTTCAAACAACCGCTTTGCGAAAGTTATCGATTCTGATGGGCGCCAGGTACACGTTTTCAGCTGGTACAGTTGGGACTTGGTTATTGTTTGTTAGAGAAACTTTGTCGGAGCTGGTTTATAAGGATGGAAAGTCTACCACAGTTAATGTTCTTGATATGTTTGGAAGGAGAAAATTGGAAAGTTTGAGTCTGTCTAATTACAGAATTGGAAGGGGTGAACTGAATTTCGAAAGATTTGCATGTTTGACATCACTATCTCTATGTCGTGTCATTATTTTAGTTGAAGATCTTAATCGATTTCTCAATGCTCCTCTCAAGCTTGAGTCTTTGAAACTTGATTCTATCTTCCTAGAACCTTCATATAATGACTCATGTGTCGAATTCCATTGTCCTACACTCAAGACCCTTTTTCTTGATGACATGAAACTATATCAGTTTATGTTGGAGAGTAGTAGTATTGAGTGTTTGCAAGTGAAAGAGTGCTATTTCAGTTCGTTTGAAGTGCGCAGTAGTAAAACTTTGAGGGACATCAAACTCTCGAACTCTGAGGCTGGGTTTTTCAAAATTGAACAGACAGACAATCTAGAGAGTTTTGAACTCACCAGGACTTGTGTTACCAAGTCAAATTTGTTTCCAATGATGATACAAGCACCAAAGTTGAAAAGGTTTCGCTTTTGGGGTTTTGAGGAAGAGTACAAGTATATTGTAAGAGGGGATGAGGGGTCGGGAATGGTGTTGGATTTAGAACGAATGGCTATTTGTTCACCACAACTTAGCCATCTTGCAATATTTTGCGACAAAAGACTTGATGGTCTAGTATACAAATTCGGGGATTCGACCTCCTTGGAGAAGGTCAGGGTTCTGGAGATTGGATGGGATGGTTTTGATGGGTTTGCTGAATGGACAGAGAAATTTCTGAAATGTTGTCCAAATGTGGAGAAGGTAATTGTTCATTGGGATTTATATGTGGGTAAAATACACCAATTGAATGATCTTTCTGTTCAGTCCTCATTATTGGTTAAAATGATGAGCAAGTATCAGCACATAAAGATGCAGTTTGCCTTCTTATATGCTTAGTGAAAAAGACTATACTAGAAGTAAAACATAGCAGAAGTAACAAAATAAAAGTTTTAATTTTTATTCTCAAAATAAGAATTATAATGACAACAATGTCTATGAAATGCCAATGTACACTGTCATATTGTTATAGTGCAAACTTTTATTTTGACATAATAACATGGAGCTCCTATCTTAGCTCTTTTTCTATGTTTTACTCCTATTTTGAATGATTTCTTTATATGATTATAATTTAGATGAATAGCCTCTATATTTTTTAACTGAGAATAATATGATTTTGATTTTGATTAATAGCCTCCATTTTTTCGACTAGGCATTAGGCCTGCATCTACTCACCCTTCTCATACTTCAGTTTGATATGTTTTGTTGGATTTTAGTGAGTTTATTATTGTTCTTGTAGCCAAGTTTATAACATGTCTACATGTGGTTGGTAGTAGTGTTGTCCTAAAAAAGTGAGACGGATGTAGTAATTAGTAGTACTACTAAAGTTTATCACTTAAGGCGTGCAACATCAAAAGCATCATACAAAATTAAAAAATTAATTAAGTGTAATTTACATGTTATTCTTATTATAATTGTTGTTATAATATTCATAATAGGTGGAAAAAATTCTACCACGTGAATGGTATATAAGTCATTTAATTATGAATAGAGAGAGTAGTACGATTATTATTTTTTAAATTAAAATATTGATGTTTTTTTTAAAAAAATATCTATAACTTTTTTAACATAGTTTAGTGGCATCTAAAAAACAATTTTCCCATTACAATTGTAATCCATACTATTTATATTAAAAATGGAAGAAAAAATAATAATGAGTGCTAATCACAAAATAGTGTCAGGGAAAAAATAAAAAAATGAAAATTTGAAATAATAATAATAAGACATGAAAAATATATCATTTTTAGAGTCATTATCTGGGAGTAAAAAAAGATTTAAGAAAATGGAATAGTTAGGGAAATTAGAAAAAAACTGGAAAAGTTGGAAGAAACTCGCAAAATTGGAAGAAACTGAAAAATTGAAAGATACTGTAAGTTAAGTGTTTAAGCTATAAAGAACATTCTCTAAATATTAATACTCCCCTTGTTTTAAAATTATCTTCTCAATTCGGTTTACGAGGTTTGACTGAAATTATTTTTAATTTCATTTTTTGATTATAGGTGTAAAATTAAAAAATAAAAATTGTATATTTTAAAATTACATCTAAAGTTTTACTAGTAGGAAACAAGAGATGACATGACTATATTATTTTATTAAATAACTAATAAAAATAGGTAACAAATTGATTAAAATTTGATCATGTAGATAGTGACTGTACTGGTAAGATCATTTTAGAGCAAAGGAAGTGGTAATTGGCTGCGTTTGGAAAACGGCTTTTCAAAATGCTTTTGACATCTTTGATTAACTTAGATGTTTTTGACTAATCAAACAATCAAAATCATTGTTTAGCTAATGACTTTTTCACATTACTGTTTCGAAAAGTCAAAATCTGAAAAGCCACAGGAAGTATAGCCTTTAGACTTGATTGTTAGGAAAATTAATTTTTTTAATTATTTTTCTTGAAAGATATTCAATAATTCATGTAAAAAAATAAAAGTTAAAAAAATCTAAAATTAAAACATTTTAAAAATTTAAAATTAATATAAATTTGACAAGAAAATCAAAATAAAAAAATTAAGAAAAAAATTATATAGTATTAATTTTTTATGAATTATATGAAAGTGAAATTTAGTACACTATATATCAAAGATTTAACTTTTACATGTACAAAAATGAAAAAATATTGTGTGTGTGTGTGTGTGTGTGTATAAACCTTTGACTTATAGTTAAATAAAATATATATTGTACATTAATTAGAAAATATAATATTTTAAAAATGTTTGATATAATAAATCTATAAATACTATTTTTGTATTAATGGCCTTGTTTGGATACTAGCAGTTGGCAGTTGGTTGTTTATGTTAGCTGATTTGAATGGCTGATTAAGTTAGTTGTTTTGACCGGCTGTTTCTGTTAGCAGTTAAATTTTAAGTGTTTGGCAACTTTAGCTGTTTATAGTTAGCTGTTTCTAAATAAAATTACATCCCTCCATTTATGGTATATTTTTTTTTACATTTTTTTTTAAAATTTATATATATATATATATATATATATATATATATATATATATATATATATATATATATATATATATATATATGTAGATTTTGGATCAGGTGAGAATGCAATCTTATGAAAGAAATAAGAATGAATCTGGTGCTCTAGATTGTGAGATCTAAGGGTCGGAATTGTATCAAAATTAGGTGCACCAAAATGATTTGAAAATGCATCATGTCGAAATGCACCAAAATCCTCTAAAAATGCACTATCTCAAAATCTGAGTGCAGGATGGAATCTGAGCCGCACGATGCATCAGATCCAAAGGCTAGATTTTATTCTTATTTCTTTCACCAAGGTGCATTCTCACCTGAACCGCCCCCTATGTATGTATGTATGTATGTATGTATGTATGTATGTGTGTGTGTGTGTGTGTCTTGACATGATATTTATTTTTTATTTTTTTACATGTAAAAATTAAATCTTTACTATATGGAATATTAAATTTTAATTTCATTTAATTCATAATAAATTATAAATATAAATTTTTTAATGAATTATAAATATAATTTTTTTTTAATTTCGTTTTATTTTTTCGTATTTAATTTTTTTTAACTTTTATTTTTATTTTTTACATATATTATAAAATATCTTTCAACAAAAATGATTTTTAAAAAATTATTTTTCCTAACCGCCAAGTCCAAATGCTACTCATCTTGGCATTTCAAGTGCCAAATCCTCTAGACTCTAGACGAACTTCCTAACTGCGGCCTCTCTCTCATCCAAAAATATTACAGGTGACTGTTTTCATCACTCTTCAATTCGCGTGTTTTTTTGTGTGTTTCTTACTTTAATTATTGTTTACCCGTTTGCTTAATTCTGATTTCTCGATAATTTGAAGCTTTCAAACCCTAATTTGAAGTAATTGGAATCTTAACTGTTTGATCTGTATGCGCACCTGTAATTTGAATGCTTCGTTTATATATACTCCCTCCGTCCGGGAATGATGTTCCCAGTCTACGTTTTTTTCTGTCCGGGAATGATGTTCCCAGTCTACTTTTAAATAACAAATCTCCCTAAAATACCCCTCTCATTTAATATCCTAACATCTACCATAACCAATCCTATCTACCCACCCCCTCCCAACACTTCGCATTCACTCTCGCTTTTTGATTCTGGTCGCATCTATTTCTCGTTCCATCTTCTATCTTCCCAACCCTAGATTACCATCTTCCTCCCCAAATTCTGTAGATCTGCGCCCCATTTCATGGAATCGCATGACTATCTCTACGATTCCATTGTTTATGAGACAGATCTTGAAGAAGGTGGATGTGAGGATTCCTCTGTGATTTACGGAACATCAATCTCTGACGACAAGGAGGAGGACGAGGTGATCGTCATCCATAGCGACGACGATGCCGATGTTGCCCCGGTCAGAGAGAAGAAGGTGGTAATCGACCTTGTTGATGAGGAGGATTCTGTAATTTTTTTTGCCAGCGATGAATCTGGCAGTGAAATTCTTGAGAAACCGACTTTGCCATTGATGAAATCAAGCATGCACCTCCACTTAGACATCCTGAATATATTAATGCCCAGTCCAGATCCAAACTTTTGGGCCTCAACATACAAGTAGGGAAGTTAATTTCCTTTCCTTACAAATCTTTCAGGTTTATTTATGCCTTGAATTTTGAGCCTTTGATTATGTTAAGAAGACTATGTGCATGTTATACATTGTTGCCTCCATGATCTTAATTGCCCAGATTCAATGATGATTAAGTCTAAACTGTGATGAGCATGTTTTTTTAAATATGCTAAGTGTGTACTTTGAATAACTGTGATGCCTTCCTGAAACTTTGAATGTTAAGCTTGTGTGTCTGGATGTATCCTGTGATGACTGGTATTTGCATCTGTCTGAGAATAATAGAGTACTATGATGAGCATTTTGAATTCTTAAAATGCCTTTGAGTACCACCATTGCATACCCTTAAATGCCTTTCAGTTTCAAACTGTGTGTCTTTGAATTCCCTAGATTCAAAGATGAGTAAGTGAATACTCTGTTGAGTATGTTTTTTAAAATATGCTAAGCTACTGTCATGTCTATATTGCCTGCCAAACTTCTATGATGACTGGTATTTGCACCTGTCTGAGAAGATAGAGTACCATGATGAGCTTTTTGAAATCATAAAATGCCTCTGAGTACCACCATTGCATACACTTAACTGGTTTAGGTGTATCATGCCTCTGTCTCTGGTCACATTCTATGAGGACTGCTGCTTGCATTGTCTGAGAAACACTAGTACTGTGATGAGCATTTTTTAAGTATGTGAATGACTCTGAGTACCAAATCAGCAATGATGATGTGGGAAAGGGCTGATGAGAATCATTTGTTGCATTTAAGTTACATATAGAGCAGATTGTGTGTAGTTACCTTGATGTGAGTGCAAGAATGTATAATGATGGTGTGGGAAAGGGCATATGAAAACCATATGTTGCATTTAACTTACATATACAGCAGATTGTGTCTAGTTACAAAAAGCAAAAACTAATCTGCTAATGTGGCTACCATTTACAAAAAGTAACAGCCCAAAAAAAATGGTAACCACCCATAGAATCAGTTCAACTCTGAAGACAAATATTCTTCTTCCTCTTCAGTGTTGAACTCACCCATGTCTGCATTGCTAGTCCCATTCTGTCCAAGAACTGTAACTGTCTTCTGAATTAGGCTTGGGTCTATGGTCAATGACTTAGGAAGGTTCCCTGCCTTGGCTAGACTGTCTTTCCCCATATGTGGCAGCCTGTAGTTGTTACCTCTTTCATCTTCCATGACTTTAGTTAATACTTGCTGATAACTCAACCACACCTTGTTTAGGGTTTCAGGCCTTAGAGAACTGTATGCTCCTTCCACTGCCTCTAACAATTCAGTTACTGTGTTTGGAGCACATTGCTCTTTTAAAGACTGAATTGCTCTGAAAAATCCAAGGTCCAACACATTTAGGTTAGGGGAGTTGGGGGGTTGATTACCTAAAGTGATGTGAAACCCATTGGTGTTACCTGCTGCCACAAAGTCTGAGTCTATTCCTTGGATGTGTGGCCTTGCATTATCTTGTTGAATGTGTATTTCTTTGGATAACTGTGATGGCCATTTCTCTTGGATAGCTGGAATGACTTTATTGATTAGCATATCTTTTGTGATTTGTTTGGTAACACTGGTGATTGCTTTCACCTCCACCTCCCCCTTTGCCCTGTTCTTGCTGTTCCTTTTAGCTTTGACTCTTTCTGTGAAATGAAAGATCCCCACTTTCCCATCCCACAACACCTCTTCATTCTCCCCAAAAAGTGGTCTCCCAACCACACATAAGAACATGACTTTGGCTATGAATCTTTTTGATTTACATGCTCTGTAAGGGTCTGCTTCATCTGGAAAGAGGTAAAACCTCTGGGAAGTTTTAGATATAAAGAACCACTTCTCATCGATGTGTAAAACGTTGTTAAATGTTTTAAACTTAGGCACACTACCCATGGTGTAAGGGTCAACCTGATCTAAACAGAACCTCAGCCTTGTGATCTTATTTGCATCAGTTAAATATGGTTTGATAGCATTAGAATGGCTCCTAAGCATACCTCTTTTAACCCACTCATGAACTGTCGACTTAGGCTGCCCAATTGCTGCTGCTAATGCTCTCAGATTAGTCCTCTTCCTCAGGGGAGTGTCTGCAACAACTGTTAAATCCAGAACAGCCCTCTTTCTTCCACTATTTCCTGCAATCTTGCTACTCACATCAATGGCAGCCCCCCGCTCTAATTGTTTCTTTGCAATTGCCCAGATTTTACTGACAGTTTTCCTAGAAACTTTGAAGTTTGAAGCAAGTTTGGTAATCTGCCCATACTGAGCTGAGAATGAACCGTCTGGATTCTGTTTTGAATGTGATAGTAGTGCATCACTAATGAGTTGCCTCGTGTTGTTGTCCAAGTTCTTCGTGTTAATCTCACGGTTCATTATGCATTATATATGCAGGGAAAAACTGCCTAGCACGGCAGGGAATGAAAGAGGAAAAAAGAAGAAGGAAGGAAATCAAGAAGGGAATGAAGAAGAAAGGGAGGGGAAGAGCATGATGAAGAAAAGAAGGTGCTGCTGAAAAAGGAAATTGCCTGGGGTTTAAATGCTTGTAATGAACCCTTTGAATGGGTTTTAGACCTTTTTTTGGGCGGGTGTTAAAAAATTTAGGAGGGAATGTGAATTAATTTTGGATATTTTTGTGATGTAAGTTGTGATTTGATGTAACTTTACCCATACTTTAAATAATGATTATAAGTAGTCATTCCACTTCCTCATTTTCGGCCAGGAAACTGCCCCCCTTCCCCCATTATTTAAACAAGGGTATTTTAGTCTTTCTATAGCCATTTTCAAGCCTTCTTAAAAATAAGGAAAAGTCAAACCGGGAACACCATTCCCGGACGGAGGGAGTATATAATTCGTGGAATGCAGATGGGGAGGCGCGGTAAAAGGAGTCGGGAGAAAATTCCTCTTGAGGTTATTGGGGATATACTGTCTCGTGTACGAATTGCCAGATATGTGATCAGAGCTTCTCTAGCTTGTCGCAGGTGGCGAAAAGCTTACTGCAAACACCTTCATGGCACTTTGGTTTTGATGCTGCTGATTTTAAGTTTCCCCAGGGCCTAGCTTCTGTTCCTGACATTGAGTTGTTGATCACTAAGGCGATATTTCAGACAACCGGTTTGCGAAAATTGACGATTCTGATGGGGGGCAACTACAAGTTTTCGGCTAGTTCAGTTCATGCTTGGTTGATGTTTGTTAGAGAATCTTTGTCGGAGCTATGTTATAAGGTTTCAACTTCTACCCGTGTAGATGTTCTTGACATGTTCGAAAGGCAAAAATTGGAAAGCTTGAGTTTGTCTGATTACAGAATTGGAAGGGATGAACTGAGTTTCGAAAGATTTGCATGTTTGACATCACTATCTCTATGTCGTGTCGGCATTTCAGTTGAAGATCTAAATCGATTCCTCAATGCTCCTCCCAAACTCGAGTCTTTGAAACTTGATGATCCCTTCCTTCAAGCTTCACAGGGTTTGCCGGATCATGAGTTTTTGGAACCAGAAAAAGTAGTCAAAGTGTACTGTCCTACACTGAAGGCCCTATTTCTTGATAATATGCAACTGTTTCAGTTTATATTGGAGAAGAATGGTACTAGTATTGAGTATATGCAAATGAAACATTGCTATTTCAGATTGTTTAAAGTCTCTGGCACAAAACTCTGAGGGACGTCAGAATCTCCCACTCCGAGGCTTGGCGTCTTGAAATTGAGCAGACAGACAATCTAGAGAGTTTTGAAATCGTCGACATTCATATTACCAGGTCAAATTTGCTCCCAATGATGATACAATCACCAAAGTTGAAAAGGTTTCGCTTTTGGGGCTTTAAGAAATGCACGTATGACGAAATAATTCTTGATGACGGGCCAGAACTAGTGTTGGATTTAGAACGAATGGCCATTTGTTCACCACAACTTACCCATCTTGCAATATTGTGTGATGAAGGAGTGGATGGTCTTGTATACAGATTCGGGGGTTCGGCTTCCTTGGAGAAGGTCATGGTTTTGGAGATTGGGTGGCATGGTTTTGATGGCTTTTGTGAATGGGCAGAGAAATTACTGAAATGTTGTCCAAATGTGAAGAAGGTTATTGTTCATTGGGTTATAGAAATGTATAAATCAGACAAATTGAAAAGTCTTTCTGTGCAGTCCTCATTAATGGTTGAAATGATGAGAAAGTATCAGCACATAGAGATTCAATTTGCCTTCTTATATACGCAGTAATTATGTTTTAAGGAATACCCTCATCTACTCTTTTGATAGGTTTTGTTGGATTTTAGTGAGTGTATTGTTCTTGAATCCAGTTTATAACATGTCTACCAGTGTTATTATAAATAACTTATTTAAGAAAATCTTATCAGTACGGAGTATAATTTTTTCGTAGTTTTGGTACCACTTTTATTTTAAATAATTTATTTAAGAATCGTATCTTATCAGTACGAAGTATAATTTTTCCTTGTTTTGGTAATGTAGGGTTGGTAACGCAAATTATATCATAGAAAATACTAGGGTTGCTATCATGGGTGCACCTATGCTTCGCACAAACAAACACAGACAATTATCGTCTGTATTTGTCTGTGCGAAGCATGGGTGCACCGATGGTAGCACCCATGTGGTGGTACCCTAGCATGATGAATTAAAAAACTGCGCACGATTAGAAATGAGGAGCATGACAAACCCTAGCTTTGACCTTCGTCGATGGAGAACAACCGCAATGCTCAATCAAGGAGACGAGATGCCGGTGTTGGGGAAGGGCTTCTCGAAGGCAGAAGACGGCGATCTCACCCTAGACGACGACGGGAAATTGGAGATGGTGCGCAGATTCTGGAGAGGTGTAGTAGGCGTTGGAAGAATAAGGCGTGTAATAAACACTGGTGCGCTTTTGGAATGAATACTAAGACCATATTCTTTAGGGCTGAAACTAGAAAGAAACTAGAAAAAACTGGAAGAAATTAAAAACATTAGAATAAACTGAAAAAAATTAGAAAAAACTCAAAAATTTATTTATATATATTTTACATAGTATTCTTATTATAATTATTATAGTAGTAGTTGTTGTTATAATTATTACTATGGATATTTAATTATTATTCTTAACTAATATTCTTATTAATTATTCTTATTATTATATTAACAGGTAACAAAGTGAATAAGTTTTGACCGTGTGAATAATATAAATCTCACTAAATTAGGGACAGAGAGTGTAGTATAATTATTATTTTTTAATTAAAATATTGATATTTTTCCAAGGTCAATTTAAATTTAATAAAATATCCATATTTTTTAGAACATGGTTTAATGTCATACTGTCATGTAAAATATAAAAGAACAATTTTCCCATGGGTGTTTGACTTTGACAAAGTCAAAATTGATTTAATTGACCTTTATTCAAAAAGGTTCTCACATTTAATTCATATAATTTGTTTTCATGATTTATTTCACTAAATCATTTCATCACATATCAATTTCTTAATTATTCTTGATTTGGGTCTGTACTTTAGTTTCCAAACCAGACCACACATGAAGTCAGCACATTGGATTTATCTTTATGAGATTTATCCAAATTGTGATATTGGATATCAAAACACTTTTTATTTTGGACCAAAGCCCAACAATAATTTATCTCAATCAAAACAAATTTGATTAATTGAATAATTATTCATTAAAAATTTTAGGGTATGTTTTGGGGCGTTACATTCCCTCTGTCCATTAATTTTTTTCTCATTTTCCTTTTGGACTAACCACAAATTTCTTTATCGTTTTCTATTTTGGAAGATATTTTTAATAAATGTGTCATTATGCCCCCACTTTTTATCTACATTATTTATTTTCTTTTATCACATCAAAGGTAAACATGAAAAGTCTTTAAATTTTTGAACGTTATCTTCGTGCCAAGTCAAAACGAGAAAGAAATTGTTGGATGGAGAGAGTATTACGGAGTATTGAGAACATAAAGAACATATTCATAAATTTATCCTTTGATTATTCTAAGAGTTCAAGTCAAATGTATCATCCTCCTGCTCAATTTATGTTATACATTTTAGTATAATTGGAATATCTATTTGACCAATGTTATGATCATAATCATAAAAAAAGTTTGGTGGTGCGGAGTTCATGCTTTGATGAGTTTGTTATGATAAAAGTCTCATTTTAATAGTGTTTCAGGGGTAGCATTGTCGAGCGCGCGGTTCAAGGGGCAGCAGTCCTGTAGGGTCCAAGGGACGAGCCCCTAGCTAGCAGGTCAGCTCGAAATCATTTTATTTTGGACAAAGTGATGTGTTAAAAATTCACTTGAATTTTTATTTTTCGAAATTGGGTATAAAGAAGTTCTAAAAGAATGCTTATTCTAATTTTCGCGCAATTGGCCTAATAGCTCTAAACCCCCCTGTGGTTTGAAAAATAGGCATCAAAACCCCCCTTCTTTTCAATACTTACTCCTAAAATCCCTATAGATTTCTAAAAGCAGCGTCTATACCCCCTCCACCGGATTTTTTGTGGCACGTGAATCATACGCTCCGTTGATGGGCTGGAAATTTGATAAAGGGGGGCATTGGTGCTCCATTTTCAAATCATAGGGGGTTACCATGCGATTAGTTTATTTTATTATGAAAAAAATATCCTTCATCCAATGAACTTTATTTTTTTTCAATGTTCCTTACAACGCAAACAATTTTTTTAAAACATTAAAAGTGTCATTTTTTTTATTTTTAAGACGGTGACATTTTCTCTTGTCTATAATACTTTTTATCTTATTCAGTTTTCCCTTTCTTTTTGTATTAATTTTTTCTTTTATTGTATTTCATTTCCTATTCTTTATTTACATGTCCCAATTTTTTACTCCGTATTTTATTTTGAAAAAGCATAAGAAATAAATTTGAGACCGATATAGTTTATGTTACTTTTTTATATCATTTATTTATGAAAACATTATTAAAAATTTAGTCGCTTATTTGTCAAAATAATATATTAAGGTCACATCTGTTTTTTGTAAAAATTTTGATTCAACTTTAAAGTAAAAAAGTAATTTTGGGAGGGACGAATAAAAAGTAGTCCGTAATTATCATCTACTCCGTATAACCCAAAAATAATGTTCACATCCTCACAGAAACACAAAAACAAAAGGCCTATAAAAAAGAACGGCCCGTCATCCTCAAGGGTAAGTCCTATTGCTCTAGACGACGACTTTTTACGAAGGCGGAAATCAATCTGTTTTGCACTCTTGCCGAAACGCAGCCCCTCTCTCTCTCTCTCTCATCCAGATATATTACAGGTGAATCTTTCATCACTCTTAAATTCATGCTTTTTTTGTTTGTTTCTTAATTCAATTATTGTTTATTCGTTTGCTTAATTCTGATTTCCTGAGAACTTGAAGCTTTGAAACCCTAATTCATAAAATTGGAATCTTAGTTGTTTGATCTGCATGCGTACCTGTGATTAAGCTTCTCCTTTAATGATAAGCTGACTGTTTTGTTTAATTATTCAAATCGTGGAATGAAGATGGAGAGGGACAGTAAAAGGAGTATGGAAGGGCCTGTGGAGAAAATTCCTCTTGAGGTTATTGGGGATATACTGTCTCGTGTGCGAATTGCACGAGATGTGATCAGAGCTTCTCTAACTTGCAAGAAGTGGCGAGAGGCGTATTGCAAACACCTTCATGCACTTTCCTTTGGTCTTTCTAGTTTTAAGTTTCCCAAAGGCCAAGATTCTATTCCTGACATAGAATTGTTGATCACCAACATGATGTACGAGACACCCGGTTTGCAGAAATTATCGATTCTGATGGACTTCAGGTACAAGTTTTCGGCTGGTTTAGTTGTGGCGTGGTTAAGGCACGTTAGAGAAACCTTGTCGGAGCTGGTTTTCAATGTTAGAACTTCTACCCCTGTTGATGTTCTTAAGATATTTGAAAGGCGAAAATTGGAAAGCTTGAGCTTGTGGGACTACAACATAGGAAGGGTTGAACAGAATTTCCAAAGATTTCCAAGTTTGACATCACTATCTCTATCTCGTGTCGGTATCTCAGCAGAAAATCTGAATCAATTTCTCTATGCTCTTCCCAATCTCGAGTCTTTGAAACTTGATGATCCCTTCCTAGAAGCTTCATACAGTGAGGATTCTTCAGATAGTGAGGATTCTTCAGATAGTGAGGATTCTTCAGATAGTGACGATTCGTCAGATATTGACGATTCCTCACCAATAAAGGTAGTCAAATTGAGTTGCCCTACACTGAAAACCTTTTTTCTTGATGATATGAAAGTATGTCAGTTTACAATGGAGAGTAGTAGTCTTGAGTATTTGCAAATGACAGATTGCTATTTCGGTTCGTTTAAAGTGTGTGGCAGTAAAACTTTGAGGGACATCAAAGTCTCCCGCTCCGAGTCTCGGCTTCTTGAAATTGAACGGACAGACAATCTAGAGAGTTTTGAATTCATTAGTAGTCGTGTAACCGAGTCAAATTTGTTGCCAATGATGGTACCATCACCAAAGTTGAACAGGTTTCGGTTTTGGGGTTTTACGAAGAAGTACAAGAGTCGCGCAGTAGGGAATGAAATAATTCTTGACAACGGATCAGGAATAGTGTTGGATTCAGAACGAATGGCCATTTGTTCACCACAACTTCGCCATCTTTCGATATTTTGCAACGAAGGACTTGAGGGGCTACTCTACAAATTCGGGGGTCCGACTCCCTTGGAGAAGGTTGTGGTTTTGGAGATTGGATGGGATGGTTTTAAAGGCTTCGGAAAATGGGCTGAGGAATTACTGAAATGTTGTCCAAATGTGAAGAAGGTAATTGTTCATTGGGTTATTCCAAAGAAGTGCAATGCAATGTTTTTGAAGAATCTTACTAAGCAGACCTCATCAATAAATGAAATGGCGCAAAACAGACAAATGCAAGTGTCCTTCTTATATGATTCTGGTTTTGATTAAGTATCAGCACATAGAAATGCCTTTAATCACCATTCTCTGGCTTCACTTGTTAGGGTTTGTTGGATTTTATTGAATTAGTCTTTGTTCTTGATACTATAATTCTATAACATCTTAGTATAATGTTTCATAGATGTGGTAATTTGGTTGGTGGTGGTGTGTTCCTAATAGGCTAATACTCTACACATCTCACTCCTCTCTTCCTTTTACTACCAGGAAGAAGAGGCTCCAAGCTTTTTAAAAAATAATTGCAAGTGTAATCTCCACTACACTTTCACACTATGTTTGGTTCAAGGAATTTGAAAGTAAAAGAAAAAAACAACTTTCTCTCATTTTCATCACTAAAATGGGAAGAATCTAGGTTTTCATCCATTTAGTACATTTTGCTTTTTAATTTTGTTTTCCTTCTGTTTTTCCTTTACCACTCGAACCAAACAACAAAAAGTGTTTTCCACTTTATTTTTTTTGTTTCCCTTTCGAATTTCTTGAACCAAAAATACTGCTAATACATTTCTTTAATAATTGGTTTTAGTGGAGAGTTGATGATTTTTAATGTCATAAGATTCATCACTCACGTCCGAATTCTCAAAATTGCAAGCATGAAGGATTCTCTTACATGTAATAAACCGTGGTATTAGTGGCGTAATAATGATTATTAGAATTTACTATCATGTCTGTTATACTTATTAAAAATTTGTTCTGAAAAATAATAATAGAAGATTTGTTCAATAAAATTGTTAAAATTGCAATTTCTATCACATATTTTTATTAACTGGTTATCTTTGAGAATCAATTTTTCATTCACATTTTATTATTTATATATCCCTTTACTTATTTACATTATTAAAAAATACACATGACAACAATTTACTAAAGGGTCGCTTCGCTCTCGGGCATCCAGATCAAACCTAGATTGTGCGAGATCTTTCAACAAGCGGCTGGAGGAATCAAGAACGGATTGTCACAAGTGTGCTTGGAATCTAAGGGAAAGGGGATGGCTGATGGCTATTGTCCGGTAATGAGCCGAACACTGCTAATCAGAAGAAAAAAGACGCCCTCCGTAGCCGTAGTCTGGTTGGGCTTCCTGACCTCTCGATTTGGAATAGCTCTTTTGGGAACCCAGCGGAACTGGCACTCTGTATGTGCTGCTATGATAGTAAGCTCTTCCTGGCCGCGCATCCGTTTTCTTGTAGAATGCGCCCTTACATTTGCTCTGCAGTACGAGCCTCATACAAAGCCGCGCTCCTTGAATATGATGAGAACCCGCCCTCTTTTCTGTACCAATCCTTACTTACTACTACATCTTTTTTTGGGTGTATAGCTCAGTTGGTAGCCATGCCTCACATTAACCAAGCAACATCTTTAGTTTCGATGCCAGATTACTTTGTCCTTCAACTTTTACCATCGTTCTCTTATCATTCTCTTAATTTTTTAATTATTTTTTCCACATATTATCTTTTCATTTGTACAAAAAAATAATTGACCAATCACTTTTTTATTTCTTTTTTCTTATAAGGCCTATCGGTGTGACACACGGAAAAGGAAAAGGGGAAGCCACTTGGCACGGGAAGGGANAAGGGGAACACAGCCCCCCCCCCCCCCTACAGGAAGAGCGGGAACCCCTTCCTGTCTTTTTTAGTGAAATAGAAAAAAATTACTATTTAAACACAACGCTCGATTCATATTTTTCACACGCTTCGTATCATTTCTTTGAATTCTTCATTCTTCATACTCATTTTAAACACCTCTCGCCAAAATATCGTCTCCTTCATCAAATACGATGTCGAATTGTTTTTGTTGTCATTTCTTCGAATGGAGACGACAAAATTTTATCCGAGCATGTGGAAATTGGAAGTACTTCGGTGCAAAAAAATCCAATACCCGGCTCGTGCATAGTCACAAAACAATTAAGACATGTTATGCATGCTTGTCTTATACGGAGTATTACATAACATAATCCTCAAAGATGAGGGGCAAACGATATGCGAATACGATCTGAATGGCGTTCTTTAGAACGTCGAACTAGTGGATGCTGGAGAACAAGACTTGAACTTGTTTGCATGATGCAACCAGAATACACACCTCCACCGACCTACGGGACGGTTTCGTAGAGTAAATGTAAAATTTCGATCTATGAATTGTATCTAATGATTAGGTTTCCAAGTTTTTATGTGAAATATGAATTCTATAATACTCCGTAATATTTTTATTGTGTTAATTATTTAATGTACCAATTTCAGTAATAATTTTAATTTTTTAAATGTATAACTTTAAATGTTTGAAGTAAATTTTTATTAATTTTATGTTTTTATTAATTTAATTTGTGGAGGTTTTGAGGAGGAGTGTGGGCCGATTGAGAGGAGGGAGGTTGGGCCGAGTGAGGGGTGAGAGAGAGGGTGGGGTTTTGGGCCGTGTGTGTGTTAGGCTGTGGGGAAGGGGTGAGGTGGGATAGGAAATTTGGTGAAGATGATAAGGGATGGTGTCCTCCGTAGAGTCGAGGAATTGAAGATCTGAAGGTGTGGTGACATGATTGCATGCAAAGTGTTTGTTAAAATGTCAGTGTTTGTTAAAATGTCATAGTGTTTATGTACTCATGTATTGCATGCAAAGTGTTTGTTAAAATGTCATAGTGAGTTCTTGAAGTATGATTTCTATGAAATCTTAAAATGACAATACATAGAATGTTCATCTAGATAGATTGTGTGTGTGCCTCTTTTTATCTATGTTAAAAAATTTCAATACTGTATTTCTTTAAAAATAAAAAAATAAAGATACATATAAGTTGTTTTATATTAATATAGATGATAAGAAATTCAAATTGACAAAAAAACTTGAAATAAAAAATATAGTATAATTTAAATAAAAGATACACATGTATTAAAATTTAAAAAACGAATTTATTTATAAAAAGTTATACAATGAAAACAATGGTGAATTGTATATTAAGAAAAATATTTTACAATAAAGAAATAGATATTGATAGAGTAGTTAGATAGTTAAAGGTTTATACAGAACATAATAAAAATAATAATAATAATTCAACTAATAGTATATCTATTTTAATTCTTAGAAGATTAAAGAAATTGTAAAATGAGCCAACTAGTATATACATCCGCGATAGATGCACATGTGGCATGCCATATATCATCACCACAATGAAAGTACTGTAATATACTTTATCCTACCTCATGTCAACGTATTCATCCAATTTGATTTTTTCGAGTCAAATTAGACGATGAACTTGAACTCAATTGAATAAAAATTATAATAATATACATTAGTGTGAAAATGATTTAATTAGACTTATCATTTTGGTAATTTTCAAAACTTTATTCCATTTTATTAATGGGTAATACTAATTGAGAATAATTGAAAATTAAAGCTCGTTATGTTTGTCTAAAAAAAGTCAAATTAGACAAATATACTAGTGTTGGATTATCGAATTCATAGCTAGGGAAGAGGAAGAAAGTGTGTAAAGAAGATGATGAATAGTATATCCTCCTCTCTCCACTTTCCTCTTCCAAGAAAAGGGTATAAATAATGGGGGCTAGGATTAGGGTTTGAGCCCATATACAAATCAATGGGTAGGCCGAACATACTGGGCCACCTCTAAATAAGCAATTAATATACAACTAACGGTCTGTTCCAACAGAATGAACCGTCTCAACCAATATTATACAAAGACCAGATACCATATGTCTAGGGTATCCATCAACTAGGACGGAGGAAGAATAAATGTCATATTCCGTATCATGATATTTAGTCTTATAGTGTTTTCTGGGATATGAAATGGTTCTTACCCGTCAACCCCTCTCACTGTAATTACAATTAAGGGTCCATTTGGTGCACAAAATTGATGGAATTGAAATTGAATTGAGAGATGAAATTTTATGGAATTAATTTGGATGGAATTGAGTTTTTCAATTCCAAATCATTTTTGGAAATATTAATTCCAAATCCACATATTTTTGTACTACCAAATATCAAAATTAAATTTATTGTCTTCAATTCCAATTTCTTTATTGGATTCTGTGTATTAAATGGAACCTAAGAGTTTAACAAGTGCCTATAATATAATGAAAGACTAAGGCTCCGTTTGATATACAGAATTCAAACTGTAGAATTAGAATTGGAACAATAATTTCAATTCTGTTATTTAATACCACAAAAATATGTAAATTTGTAATTCGTAGTGTCAAAAGTAAATTATGAATTAAAATGGGAGAATTCAATTTCATCCAAATCAATTTCATAACATTTGAACTTTCAATTCAATTTCAATTTCAATTCCAAATAGATCCTAAGGCTATGTTTTCTTTAAATTATTTTAATGGCTAATTTGATTAAAAAAATGTTTCTGATTCGAAAAAGTCGAGAACAAAAAATCCGATCAACAAGAAAGAAAGAAAAACTTGCATTTTGTGTTGGGGCTGCGAGATTTAGGTGAATGTTCATCACTCTCAAATTCGCGTTTCATTTTTATTAAATTCATGTATTTGTTTTTGTCTTTCTTAAATTTAAGTATTGTTTATTCGTTTGCTTGATTCTGATTTCTCTAGAATCCTAAGCTCTGAAACCCTACTTCAAATAATTGTAATTTTAGCTGTCTGATCTACATGCGTACCTGTAATTTCTGGTTGAATACTACTCTGACTGTTTTATTTATATATTTAATTCATGGAGTGTAGATGGAAAGTGACAGTAGGAGTTTGGAAGAGCACGCGGAGAAACTTCCTCTTGAGGTTATTGGAGATATATTGTCTCGGGTAAGAGTTGCACGAGATGTGATTAAAGCCTCTCTAACTTGTAAGAAATGGCGAGAGGCTTATCGCAAACACCTTCATGCACTTTCCTTTGATGTTGCTGATTTTGAGTTTCCCAAGTACCAAGGTTCTGTTCCTGACATAGAAATGTTGATCACAAAGACAATATTGCAACTTCCTGGTTTGCGAAAATTATCGATTCTGATGGACGTCCGGTACGCGTTTTCAGCTGGTTTAGTTTTGGCGTTGTTAACATTAGTTAGAGAAACCTTGTCGGAGCTGTGTTATAAGGTTAGAACTTCCACCAGTGTTAATGTTCTTGATATATTTGAAAGGCAGAAATTGGAAAGCTTGAGTTTGTCCTATTACAAAATAGGAAGGGTTGAAGAGAATTACCAAAGATTTCCATGTCTGACATCACTATCTCTATTTCGTGTTGGTATTTCATTTGATGATCTAAATCGATTTCTCTATGCTCTTCCCAATCTCGAGTCTTTGAA